TTTATTGCATATTTATATAACATTATTAAATATACCTCTATTATATTAATAAACTATACATCATATGTTATGCAATATAGTAAATATGCACTGTATAAATAGATATTAAATGTAAGATTATTGCACACATTTCATTTATCTAGGCTAGTTCTTTTTATTTTTGAAAATAATGTTCCTGTGAATACTCAGTATTTATAAGTTTTTACATGGCTGTTTTCATGTGCAGGTTGTAGCATACAAGTGGAATTTTGGGTCTGCTGGAGCCACGTTTAACACTATGAGGAATTTCCAGGCTGTTTTCCAAGGCGGCTGTGACATTTTACATTCCTGACAGCAGTGGATGAGGACTCTGACTGGGCATATGCTCACCCTTGTCTGCCTGCCGTCTACAGCGGCCCTGCTGCCTGTGACGCTGGGGCCCTGACTCGCATTTCCCTGAGGGGTGGTGATGTCAGGCATCTGTTCAGGCATCTATTAGGTAACTGGATGGTTTGGGTTTCTTTTTTTTTTGAGACAGGGTCTCCCTATAGCCACAGCTGGCCTGGAACTCGCTCTATAGACCAGGCTGGCCTCTGTCTCAGAGATCTGCTTGCCTCTGCCTCCCTAGTGCTAGGATTAATGGCGTATACCACCATGCCCAGCTTACTTTGCCCATTTTTAAGATATTTTATTATTTTTATTTTATGTTTATGTGTGTATTGCCTGCATGTAGGTAAGTGCACCCGTGTTGTGCAGTGCCCATAGAGGACGGAAGAGGATGTCAGATCCCCTGGAACTGGAGTTATGGACAGTTGTTAACTGCCATGTGGGTGCTGGGATTCCAACCAGGGTCTTCTGCAAGAACAACCAGTATTCTTAACCACTGAACCATGTCTCCAGACCCACTTTGCCCATTTTTAATTGGGTTATTTATCTTTTTATTATTAAGTCACTAGGGTTCTTTATGTCTGTTTTTATTTCAAAGGTTTATTATTTGTGTGTGTGTGTGAGAGAGAGAGAGAGAGAGAGAGAGAGAGAGAGAGATCTAAGTCCTGCTGCTGAAAATTCTTTGCAGTGTAACTGAATCTGCACGTCTATCCCAGAGACAGTTTGCCAGTTTCTTATTCTTGAGGGGAGAAAACAGAGACAGGACTCTGTTGGACTAAAGTCATTAGCTGCAGCAGTTAACTCAGAACTCCTCTGAGAAGGTTGACATCCCAGTTCCCAGGCCGACTCAGTCAGAGTCCCAGGAAAGCTCTCAGAAGGTAACAATCATACTCTATTTGGCATTATACCCTGGTGCCTCCTGGGCTACCAGAAAGCAAGAGGTAATATCGAAGGGGGAGTAAGTGGAGCCAGAGGCCAGCTTGGGGTGGGGAGCAGGGAGCTCCAGAGTGAAGGGGCATCAGGGCAGGCACAGTGGCACATGCCTACAATCCCAGCACTCAGGAGACTGAAGCAGGAGGATTGCTGCAGATTTGAGGCCAGCCTGGGATACGGTGTGAGAGACTGTCTATAAATAAATAGCAAAAGCAGAAACACTGGCTTCTGGGCATGGCATGACTGCACCCTGGACTCACAGCAGCTGTGATTACTACAATATCTGTATGCAATTATTTCATTTATTTATTTTATGTGTATGTGTGTATTGCCTGCACTCACAGCAGCTGTGATTACTACAATATCTGTATGCAATTATTTCATTTATTCATTTATTTATTTTATGTGTATGTGTGTATTGCCTGCGTGTGTGTAATGTACCTGTGTCTTGCAATACCCACAGAGGTCAGAAGAGGGTATCAGATTCCCCTGGAACTGGAGTTTCAGAGAGTTGTTAGCTGCCATGTGGGTGGTGGGAATTGAACCCAGGTTCTCTGCAAGAGTATCGGGTGCTCTTAACCACTGAGCATCTCTCTAGCCCCAGTTATTTTTAAATATATTATAAATAATTGTACCCACAGACCCACAGTGTAGCTCTTACTGATCATCAAAGAAGCTTTTTGTAACAGATGGAGATGAACACAGAGAGACACAGCTGGTCCTAGTACAGAGAATATGTGACTGTGGGGTACCCAGCCCCCAACTGATGCATCCACAATGCAATCCCATACCTAAGGCTCAGGGAACATTGAGATAGAGGTGGAAAGATTGTAAGAGCCAGAGAACTCAGACGCCTGCCACTACACGGTGGCTTCTAGACATGGCAGGGAAGCTGTCCATGAATCTCAACAACACGGTTGCCTAACAAGACCTGCAGTGACATGCCAATGTGGATGGAGGAAATTTCTCGATGACTTACCTCTAGATGAAGAGCTACAGGCAATTGATGGCCGCTGAGAAAGAGAGAATTGGTTTACTGCAGGGTAAAGCTACCCAACAGGTTATCCAATCCTGAGCACTCACCCTTACACACGAGTACACGGGAGCACCACTAAATGACCTAGTAGGATGTATATTGATATGCGTATACATGTGATGGTAATAATGAAGAAGGCATGAGTTGAGAGGGCGTCAGGAGGATGTAGGAAGAGTTGGAGGGGAATGATGTAAACACAGTAGTTCTCACAAAGGGGACTGAGGAGATGCTCAGTGGTTTAGAGCACTGGCTACTCTTGCAGAGGACCTGGGTTCAGTTCCCAGCATCCAAGTGGCAGCTAACAACCACCCCCTAACTCCAGTTCCAGGGGATCTGACACCCTCTTCTGGCCTCCGTGGGCATTGCACAACATGAGTGCACTTACATGCATGCAGGCAATACACTCACGCACATAACATAAACAAATCAAGAAATATTTTGATAATTAAAAAGAAATTCTCAAAAAATAAATATAAATGATTGAAAGAAAGGTCCGCCCAGCGTTGGAACAGCCGACACTTTGTCACAGAACTGGAAGGGCTGTTGGGGCCCCATGTCTCCCTGCGGATCTATACACAGTTAATGGGTGCCTGGGCGGAGGCAATATTTTCTTCACCGTTGAGGTGTTCATACTCCTGTAAACAAGCTGTGATGGTTCGAATGGAAATGTCCCCCATAGGCTCCAAGTATTTGGACATTTTGTCCCCAGATGGTGTGGCTGTCCTGGAGGAAGCATGTCACTGGGAGTGGGCTTAGAGAGTTCTTAAGCCTTGCTGGATCTCCAGTCGCTCTCTTGCTTCCTGTGCCTGTGATGATGTGCGAGCTTAGCTTCCGCTGCTCCTGCTCCAGCCACCTCCAGCCACCACGCCTCCCCGCCATGACCGACTGTAATTCCCCTGGAACCATAAGCTCAAGTAAACTCTTCCTTCTACAAATTGCTTGGGTCAGTGTTTCTATCACAGCAACAGAAAAGTGACTAATACACAAGCCTAAGGAAACTTGTCACACACACACACACACAAAGCCAGGAAGGCAGATGAGGTGGGGAGGGAAAGGGATTAGCAGAGAGGAAAACGGGAGTGACTATGACAGATACACTGCGTACATCTGTGAAGATGTCGTAACGAAGCACTCTATTATGTATAATTAATAGATGCTGACCAAAAATTCTTTTTTTAAAAAAGGTCAAGCGTAGCCGGGTGTGGTGGCGCACGCCTGTAGTCCCAGCACTCGGGAGACAGAGGCAGGCGGATCTCTGTGAGTTCAAGGCCAGCCTGGTTTACATAGTGAGTTCCAGGTCAGCTGGGAGACCCCGTCTCAAAAAGACAAAAAAAAAAAGGTTAAAAAAGGTCAAGCATGTGGCACACACTTGCAACCCCACACTTGGGAGGTGGGAGCAGGAGGACCAGGAATTCAAGGTCATCCTCAGCCAAGTAGAAAGCTCAAGATCAGCCTGGACTACATAAGACCTTGTTTCGAGAGAGGGTGGGGGCATCAGAGGGGCTCCAGAGCAAATGCTGCCTCTGCCTTGGTGGTTGGGCCAGTCATGGAGCAGGTGCATGTGAGCCACATCACTACTGGAAAGCGGCCAACCAGGGGCCCTTGAGTGGAACACACTCATCCCTTCCAGGTACCTTTGGAAAAAGCACTGGGTCTCACTCTCAGGCACCTGCAAAGCCCCTCTGCCTGGTGGCCTCCCCTCTGTGAGGAAGTGAGCCTGCTCTTTGAGCCGGACTGTGTGTCCACCTGCCCCATTCTGGCCCCAGCCCAAGGCTGAGCATGGCCACGTGCTCCTACAGCACCAGGCAAAGGCAGGAGGCCAGCCGTTTGCCAGCTTGCTGGCTCCAGCTTCCAAGCCAGCCCCTGGCAGGTGGAGAAGGGGCTGGCTGCTGACCCAGCTGGCCGGCAGTGAAAAGGAAAAACATCTGTCCTTCACGCCGGGCCACAAAGGAAGCTGTTAATAGTGGTTTGAGCCCAAGTTGTTTCAGTGGGCTGCATTGTGCTCCCCAGAAGTGATGCTCACACACTAAGCTCTGGCATTATGAATGTGTGGTGTGGAAATCATTTCTGCAGATGTGGTTTAGTTAAATCTGGAGAGAGCTCATCCCGAATTGGGGGGAAGGGGGGGCAGGGGGCTGAATCCAGCCACAAGTATTCTTAAAAGAGAAGGGAGACAGGGATGTGTGACATCCCCAAATGAGGTCTTGCGGAGGCAGGAAAGCTGTGGAAACTGGAGGAGACCGAAGTGTCCTTCCTGAGCCTTGGCTGGGAGTGCCTCCCTGCTCACGTCTGGGTTATGAACTTCCTGTCTACAGAACTATGAGAGGAGACTTGTCTACATTTTCAGCCACCTGGTTTGTGGGCCTTTGTGACGAGCCTCTGGAAGCTCGTACAGTTGTCCAGGCTGGAGGCCCAAGCAGGGGACTACCAGCACAGGAAAGCAAGTCCCAGCCTCCTGCCACCACACACAAGCCCCCAGATTTGCCCACAGCACTGTGAACCCCTCTGGATGAGCCACACTCAGGACACCCACGTCTCCTTAGGACCAACAAGGCAATTCAGGCCCGAGCAGGTCCCCATGTAAAAAAAAATCACGATTCCTTAGACCAGGCAGAAGGTAGGTGTCAGATGGACTTGGTTAAATGAGCAGACGGAAGAGGCCAACTTGCTGAAAATCACCATGGCAAGTTTAATGATTCCTGGACAGGGCACTGCAGAGCACAGGGGGCAGACGGGCCTCTGCTGCAGGTATGCCCACGGAAATGTGACTTGAAGGGTCTGACCAGCAAAAGTCCCTCAAGAGGAGGCACATGCAAACTCTGCACCCCAGCAGCCAGGCCCCAGAAGGTGGAAAGGAAAGATCCAAACCGAGGACCACCCAGGCAGCAGCAAAGAAGGTCCCCGGATGGCATGTACTTGATGGAGCAACCCAGACCTTGGGGACCAATATGGGTAAGAGAGGATGGGGCCAGCAGGAGCTCAGAGAATCTGCCCTGAAGCTGGAGTACTGTGCCTGACATTGTTAATGATCCGCACACCCAAGGCCTGGTTCTCTCTTCCAAGAGAACCGCTAGGGTTCCTGCGTCTTTGTACAGTCCACTCTCTGCACAGGGTGTCTGACCCAACAGTAGCACCGGACGTAGATAGGAGGGACTCTCTAGCTCCCTAGAGCTCTCCCCAGGTTCTGGGACCCAGAAAAAAACCCTCTCATGTTGCCATAGGCTGGCTAGAGCTGTGTCAGGCCTGGATGGTCCCATCCACCTCAGCCTCACTGCAAGTCAACACAGCAGATGCTCAGAAAGGATGCTGAGCCAGGGAAGGAGAAGGATGCTGAGGTGATGAGAGGTGGTTTGGTAGAACCTGAGTCTAAGGCTTGGTGCTTTCCGTGGCTGAACCATCTGGAAGAAGGAACAGGGAGCTTAGGCCACAGCAGCGGGCGTGGAGGAACCCACCTGGGGCTCAAGGTTAGCCTAGGGAAGGAGAGCTTTGTTTCTTAGAGAGACACCTGCAGGTTGGGGAGTGCCTGAGGTCCCCAACCACTGTCAGGAACCTGTGAGCTGGTGTAAGCACACTGCTCCCACCAGCCCAGAGTCAACTGCAGAGGACTTGGTGGTCCTTCTGGGGAGCTGATGTTTGCTGCTCTACCCCAACCCTTTCACTGTTGTGGCTCAGAAAGGCTGACAGAGCCCCTGGGCCAGGCTGCAGCAATGTTAAGAGGGCACAGAGGTCAGTCCCGCTGTCCCCAAGAACAGTCATACATGGCCTAATAGAATTAAGCCAGATAAGGCTTCCAAACCTCAACCGCAGCCCTCCCTGGCCCCCTTTTAGATCTATTCCTGTGTAGGCTCTGGGCCCCTCCAGTGAAAATAGCTCTCCTTCTGAGAGCCAGCTGGCTGGAGAGGCAAAAATAACAGTCCCTGGTTTACTTTGTTCTCTTGAAACCCTTAGCATTTGCTTAATTACATTCAGGAATGGGAGCACACAGGCTGTGCTCCAGGACACCCTGTCGCCGCAGGACCACACACTGCAGGGTCGTCTAAGGCTGCATGCCCAGCAGGGAGCTGGAGGTCCCCCAGTGTTCTCACAGGCGCCCCACCCTGATGACTTCATCTCCCGGCAGCCAGAGCAGATCGGGGACCACACAGCCCTTTGGGCTTCCCAGCAGCCAAGGGTGTCTTGTCAAAGCCAAAGCTAAGTAAAGCGGAGGCTGAGGAAGCCAGGCCTGAGGGAGAGCGGTGATGGGGTCAGTCTGGGGCAGGACCCCAGGGTCCGCAGGGCCCAGCAAGGGTAAGGGGCGACAAGCAAGGAGGTCGGCAGTCACTAGGGCTCAGCGGCAGGCTTGACCAGGTAGCCACTGAAAGTGATGTAGGTGTCAAACTCATCGCTGAAAACGGCATTCTCACGATCGCCCTTGAAGAGGCGCACCCACACCTCATCCTGCTCCTGCAGCTCCAGCATCAGGCTCTGGCTTTGCATGATGCTGCGGTCGCTCACCTGTGCATACAGGATCACCACCGCCTCCTCGTTCTTCATGATGTGCAAGTACGTCTCCTTCTGGTTCCAAGTGTGCACGTTGAGGCTGAAGAAGTAGATGCCCGGCACATAGCAGTAGAACTTCCCAGTGAACATGTTGAAATGTTTGTAGAGGTTCACGAACTGTGTGTCGAAGACCACGGGCTGATAGTAGTCATTACTGTGCAGGGCCTTCTTCCGGCCCACTGAGAAGGCTGCATAGTGATTCTTACATCTGTCCCCAGGGGCCCCCATGGATCCCTTCTGCCCTTTGGGACCGATGTGTCCCCTGGCACCCACGGAGCCCGTTTTGCCGTATTTACCCTGGAGGCCTCGGTCTCCTCGGTCACCTTTCTCCCCTAGGAGGGAACAGAGAGACAAGAGGTCCAAGGTGGGCAGCCCTCAGCCAGCTTCTTGCTCACTTGCTTGGGTGCCAGTCTGGCTCCACACTCCAGCCCCTAACTTGGGAGTCTTCCCTGATGCCCCTCAGCAAGGAGCTCCTGGACCTGGGCAGGAGGCGCTTTGATCCTCAAATAAGGCAGGCTAGTGTTTCACTGTCAAGGGCCGGTCTATTTTTACCCAAAAGCCATGCTTTTCCTCTCTTTGTGGAAAACCTGGCAGAGATAAAGGAACATATGGGTTTGTCCACAAGCAACAGGCTCTGTGGCCAGGCCCAGGCCCACTCTGAGCAAACGGACTGCAGATGTCAGGACTGGGCTCAGGATCCAGGTTGTGAGTGTTCCCTGGTTTGTGTGAGGTTGTCTGGAAGAAGGGTGCAGCATTTCAGAAATCAGGTCGGGGCACACTGCCTGGAAACGAACTCAGAGGCTTGCAAGTTCTGTGCAGGCAAAGGAGGCCTGAACCCTCCCCAAAGCTGTGTGTGTGTGTGTGTGTGTGTGTATGTGCACATGTATGTCCTAGCTCATGCCCCACCTGTACTTGCGGAGGCCAGAGGAGAACACGGGGAGTTTTCCTCTATCATGTTCCAGCTTATTTTTTAAATTTTTAAAATTTTTATTTTATGAGTGTTTTATATGTAAGTATGCATGTATGTAAGTGCATCACCTGTGTGCAATGCCTGTGAAGGCCAGAAAAGAGCATTAGAGCCCCCTGGAACTAGAGTTCTGGATGGCTGTTAGCTGCCATGTGGTGCTGGGAACCACACCCAGGTCCTCTGGAAGAGCAGCCAGTGCTCTTAACCCCTGAGCCATCTGCCCAGCCCTCCTTCTTATTTTAAGAGAAAGGCTCTCTCACTAAACGTCACCAGTTCAGAAAGCACGGATTCTAGATCTGCTTGTCTCTGCCCTGGGATTACGGACACATGGGGCCAGCTTTTACATGGGTGCTGGGGCTTTGGCCTCAGGTCTCCAACGTTCAGAGCAAGTGCTCTTCCCCACTGAGGCATCCCCCTGTGGCTCCTGTCCTCCTCACAGAAAACAGCAAGAGCTTCAAAATGGAACTTTCCTCCTTTCCGCCAGATACAGCTCCCCCTGTCCTACCCCTGGGGAGTCGGTCTGTCTCTGTTTGGCCCCACCTCAGCAACTGTCTCCCTCCTGATCTACACACAGCGCCCTGCAGAGGTGCCCCACCGCCATCTCTGCAGCCACTGACCTTTCAAGATGGTGATGTTGATCTGGGGTGGTGGGATCGCCTGGTACGCAGGGGTGCTGGGGTCACAGCACCGAAAGCACCGGGAGGCAGGGGGGGCCCCGCCCTGACTGTACTTCTCATGTTTTTCTTCATCCCTAAGGGAATAAACCATCACAAAATCATGAACTCTTGGGGCTGGGAGCTCCCTTCTGCTGCTGTGGGCCAGGGCTTCCAGATCTGCCTTCCCTCTCCTTCCCCCAGACGTGCAGGGCTCTGGTTAACACCGTCAGGGGGAGAATTCTGAGATCCTGACTCAGAAGTCTAGAATACACACTACTCATTTGACTCGTTAGTAAATAAGAAGGTTCCACTTAATCTTTAGGATGCCTTTGGGCTACAGCAGACGGAAACGCTCGTTTCCCACCTGGTGGAAGGCAACGGGTCTACGCTGCCACCTGGTGGTCATATGCAGCATTGCGCTTTCATTACAGAAAGGGTCCAAGGCGCGGCAGCCCTATCTCCATATGCCAGCTCCTCTCGGAACGCTGCTTCACTTTCTAGCCCCAGAAGAGCCGGAATGTGGATCTACATATGCCCTGCGTTCGACCATGTGCAAGCCCAGGACTTGGGGAAAGATACCCACACCTCTCTACCAAGCTTCAGACTTCTTACCAGCAACCTCCATCCATCCATTCAACAGGCCCCATTGATGTCGTGTGTCCAAAATCTAATCTGCCACCAAGTCCCTGCCTGTGGAACTTGCTCTTTCTTTTTTAATTTAAACTATATTACTTATTATTTTTTATTTTACGTGCATGAGTGCACTGCCTGCATGTTTGGAAGTGCACCCATGTCATGGAATGCCCACAGAGGTCAGAAGAGGGCATCGGATCCCCTGGAACTGGAGTTATGGATGGTTGTTAGCTGCCATGTGGGTGCTGGGTCTTCTGTGAGAGCAGCCAGTGCTCTTAACCGCTGAGCCATCTCTCCAGCCCCAGAGCTTGCTCTTTCTAAACACCGTCTCTAGCACATGGCCAGTGGTCCGGGATGGGAACTTCTGTCTCCCTGGCCCTCACCACAACATCCCCCAGGTGCTGGGGAGTCAGCGTCTGCCCCCAAACTCCCAGGACTTCCCTGGGTCCTTGACATTTCCAGTGGTCCTCACTCCTGAAGTTTGTCTCTCCAGCGTCAATGCATTCCCTGATGCTACCTTCTGGCACTCCTTCTAGAACACTTTGAATGTGAACCTCTCCTGCAGGCTTCATAGCCCCTATAGGATGAATCCTGGATAAGACCCTTCCCTACTATCCTGCACTCCCAGGCTCCAGCTCCCACCACCCCAGTCCACCCTCCCATGCTGCAGCACCCACCTCACCCCTGCCCACACCATTCAATGTTTTTCCTCCTGTACCTGGGAGGCCACATGCTATCTTTAAGAACAGGCTCACTCTGTGCTTGGTCTTCCTGGATCTCACCCCTTCGCTTCTGCAGTTCCCAGCCTTGGGAGTGCAGCCCTACTTTGGAGACTGTATTGGACTGTGTGTGTGTGTGTGTGTGTGTGTGTGTGTGTGTGTGTGTGTGTGTGTAACCTTGGAGTTCCAAGTGCTTCTCCAGTGCCTGGGAGATGTGCTGACTGACAAGTTACTCAACCAGTGTTTGTTGAATGGAAGCAAAGGAAGAAACAAAGGAACTGGAGTTTCTTGGGCACAAGTCCTACCTGGAACCTCCAGGTATTAAGTTGACCTGTTGTTTAGGATATTGAAGACTCACACATCCAGCACAGAGCCCTTTGTAGGCTTTGAGGACTTCATGTTTGACTTCTCAACGAAACATCTCCCATAGCCTGGAGTCTGCATCCCCATGAAAGCTAGAGTTGAAGGCAAGTGCTGTCCTAAAGGGTTTAGTATTTTTAATTAGTTTATGTGTATGCGTGTTTTGCCTGCATGTATGTAAGTGTACCTGTGTCATGCAAAGCCAGTGGAGCTCAGAAGAGGGTTGTCGGATCCCCTGGAACTGGAGTTTCAGATGGTTGTTACCCGCCATGTGGGTGCTGAGAACCAAAGCTGTGTTCTCTGCAAGAGCAGCCAGGGCTCTTAACCACTGAGCCATCTCCCCAGCCCCTATCCTGAACTTCTTTATAACCTTTCAAAGAAAGCCGACACCTGGCCTCCCAGTTCTCGCCAGCACACTCCCAGTTGCCCGAAGCCACTTGTTCCCACATATACTTGGAACACCGGCACACACCCTCAGGACCAAGTGAGAAGGTGAGGCGAACCTGAAGGGCAGGGACTAGATTTGCCCTTCAACAACAGAGCTGCGAAGTCCTTGCAGACTCAGGCTGCTTAAGGGTTAGGAGTGAAGCCAGGTCACCGTCCTCAGATTCAGACGGGATGCCCAAGTCACTGGAAGGCAAAACGGCTTGTCTGACCTCCAGAATCAGCCTCCCTGAGGGCCACTCCTGAGTCTCAGCTTTGCCTCTTCACAACTCACTGGCATCCAGTGCTCGGGGTGCCCCAAACATCACACTCGACCCGACCAGATGCAGAGCTAACTCCTGCAAGCACACTGTTACAACCCCTCACCTCTGAGCTTGATCCATCGGGGATGGCAGCTCCCGTCTCCCCTCCTGTTCCAGATGTTCTTGCTGACCACGTCGCACGTGGCTCAGGACTGGGCCCCAAGCAGTGGCCAGCAGCAGGCAGCATCCCAGCAGTAGTCCCTGTCCATGGGAGCCCATCTTCCTGCTGAGACATATAGGGAAGGTCCAGGTTAGAAAGGCGCTCTGCAGAGAAACAGAGAACAATCAGAGCTGCCCACCCGGCTGCACAACACAAGGAAGTGCCCAGCCAGACTTGTTTGAGAGACCATGTGTCAACAGGCACAGACACACCACACTCCCCCATAGGAACTTTAGCCCTCTGGGTTGTTGTTGAACCATCACTGAGTGAGGTGCCGTCTGCAGCTGCCCAACATCTCAGGAAGGACAGCCCATCACCTGCTAGTCCCCGACAACAAGCAAGAATCCTGGATGAGTCTTCGGTAATTACCATCCAGCACTAAGCCACTCTAGTCCTTCCTTAGGAGAGCCAGAAACTGGGCGGAAACTGGCTGCAGGCACCCTTTCAGCCACGGGGGGACAGCGAGCAAACATCCACGAGCATCAAATTTAGAGAAAGTCATTCATCCAACCCAAGCCCATTTCCCATGAATAGGGTTTTCAAGCAAAAGCTTGGGACAGGACCTCTTCTGGTACAGAGATTGTCCTTCAAGAAATGTGAGCTCTTTCGGGGTCTGGTGAGGGGCAGGGCTTGGGCTTGAACTAGAGGGCGCATGCCCCTGTTTTTAGTTAGTGCATCACCGCAGGCCACTTGGGCGCCTGGAGACAGGAGTCACTGTTCTTTGCTGTTCCCATGAACTGGAAACCCTCACCGTGGAGAGGACCACTGTCAAGCTAGGCCTCCTTTCTCACAAAACCATTAAGTTTGATGCTTCAAATGACCCCCAAGAATGGCCCCATGCTTCACCTCTTCTCCTATAAATGTTAAATTTGTTTTTATTTTGTGCCTATGAGTGTTTTGCTTGCATGCAATCAAGTACACCGTGTGCATGCAATGCCAGCAGAGGCCAGAAGAGGATGTCCATTCCCTGGAACTGGAGTTATAAAAGGCTGTTAGCCTCCACGTGAGTGTTGGGAACAGAACCAGGGTCCTCCACAAGAGCAGCCTGTCCTTTTAACCACTGAGCCATCTCTCCAGCCCCTTCCTCCCCTATATTTAAGGAGACTTCTTCAAATCCTGAGATGGAGTTCTCTGATTGTCAGTTATAGTGGACCCAGATGTGACTGCCTTTGACTCATCTTTAGAAGCTACAACCTCCTCCCCGACATTTCCTCTCCGGGATATTGTCACCTGTGAGGGGTATGAGCTAGTAAGGTTTCCTGGCTATGTCCACAAGAGAGACATCCTTCGACCCAAGCCTCACACAGAAGGAGCATGGGGAGCCCCAGCCCTGGGTAGAGCCTTGGAGATCAGAGAAATGAGTGGAAGGCTAGCCTCCCCCACCCAGAGAGATGGATAGACAGCTAACCTCTCCGATCCAGAGAGATGGATAGACGGCTAACCTCCCCCACCCAGAGAGATGGATAGACGGCTAACCTCCCCCACCCAGAGAGATGGATAGACAGCTAGACTCCCCTACCCAGCATTCCCCACTCCTCTCTCACACTTGGCCAGCAAGGCCCTTGCCTACTACTGCAGGGGGTCAGCTGGGTATATATCTCTAAGACCTCCACTGACCAGCCACTCAAGAGCCCAGGGTCCAGATTACCCAATGACCAGGAAGAGGCTGCTTGGACAGGTCCCTTCTCAATCCAAGAACCCCTCCCCCCCCCAAAAAAAAAAAAAAAAAAAAAAAAAAAAAAAGTACATATGTGTGCATGCTGACTTTACAGTGTGTTTAAATTCTGTCTATGCATCTGTTTGTCCTCTCTCTAAGCTCCTGGCCAGGGGCATGCAGGACCCTCCCCTTTTCCCTTTGACCACTCACACCTCACCCTGACATCCAACTCCCTGCCTCTCAAACTTTGATATGAAAAAAAAAAAAAAAAAAAAAAAAAAAAAAAGTACATATGTGTGCATGCTGACTTTACAGTGTGTTTAAATTCTGTCTATGCATCTGTTTGTCCTCTCTCTAAGCTCCTGGCCAGGGGCATGCAGGACCCTCCCCTTTTCCCTTTGACCACTCACACCTCACCCTGACATCCAACTCCCTGCCTCTCAAACTTTGATATGCAAATCTAGGACTCTTTTTAAATGGCAGCTTCTGATTCAGCAGGGCCCTGAGGCTTCTGGGGTTACAACATACCATGGGTGCTGCCAAGGGTCTGTGGATGGCACTTCACATACCACCTTTTTTAAGCCACACGCTCAACCCCTGACACCTGCCAGCGGGCCTGCATTCCTGCTCCTTAGCCAGGAGCACCTTTTGTCCTGTTTCAACTGATAAGCAGGCTAACATGCCTGGCAGTGGCACCGGGCACTGTGCTGAGATTCTGTTCTTCATTTTAGTAAATTCTTTGGGACCCAGAAGTGGGGACAGGTCTGAGAACACATCCCGTTAAACACTTCTGTCCCACCCAGGCCTCGGGAGATCCCATGGCCCATCCTTCCAAGAGACAATACTCATTCATTAGTATATCATCCGTAAATGAGAAAACAGGGGAGCTGGGTGACCTCTCAGTCCATAAAGGGCTTGCCCTGCATGAGGATGTGAGCTCCATCCCTAGAATCAACATAAAAAATAAAAAGGAGCTGGAGAGATGGCTCAGCAGTTAAAAACACTGGATGCTCTTGCAGAGGACCCGGGTTCAAGTCCCATCCCCCCATGGAAGCTAACAACAGTCCTTAACCCCATCCAGTTCCAGGGACTCTGACACCTTCTTCTGGCCTCCACGAGCAATCGAACCCACAGGTGTACTTACATACATGCAGGCAAAACACTTATACACAGGGCTGGAGAGATGGCTCAGCAGTTAAGAGCACTGACTGCTCTTGCAGAGGACCCGGGTTCAATTCCCAGCACCCACATGGTGGCTACAAACTGTCCTTAACTCCAGTTACAGGAAAATCCAAAGCCCTCTTCTGACCTCCGTGGCATTGCATGACACGGGTGCACTCACATACATGCAGGCAATATACTCATACACATAAAATACCATGAGCACTGTACGACCACAACACAAGTACACTTACACACATGCAGGCAATACACTCACTCATACACATAAAATAAAAATAATAAATAAAATATTTTTAAAAAACACTCATACACAAAAAATAAATAATAAATAAATTTTAATTATAAAAAATAAAAGCCAGGCATGGTGTATGTGTTTATAATCCCAGTGTTGTGAAGTTCAAGACAGATCACTGGGGCTCACTGGCCAGCCAGCCTAGCCAGGCCAATAAAAGACCCTCCTCAAAAAAACAAGGTGGGGGTTGGGTGGTTAAAAGCACTGGCCACTCTTGCAGAGGACCCGGGTTTGATTCCCACCATCCACATGGCGGCTAACAGCTGTAACTCCAGTTCCAGGGGATCCAACACTCTCTTCTGACCTCTGAGTGCTTTGTGTGCAGATGGTGAACTTAAACACACGCAGGCAAAACATTCATACGTTAACAAGATGGACGGACACTGAAGAGCATCAGCTGTGTTTGTCTTCTGGCCTATTCACACACACACAGACACACACCCAGACACACACACAGACACACACAGACACACACACAGACATACACAGACACACACACACACACCCCCACCCACACACACACAGACACACACCCAGACACACACACAGACACACACAGACACACACACAGACATACACAGACACACACACACACACCCCCACCCACACACACACAGACACACACCCAGACACACACACAGACACACACAGACACACACACAGACATACACAGACACACACACACACACCCCCACCCACACACACACAGACACACACCCAGACACACACACAGACACACACAGACACACACACAGACATACACAGACACACACACACACACCCCCACCCACACACACACAGACACACACCCAGACACACACACAGACACACACAGACACACACACACACATACACACACACAGACACACACACAGACATACACAGACACACACACACACACACCCCCACCCATACACACACAGACACACACACATACACACACACATACACACATACATACACATATAGACACACACACAGAGACACACACACACAGACACCCACACACACACACACAGACACACACACAGACACACACAGACACACACACACCACACACGCACACACACACACACAGAGACACACACACAGACACACACACATGCACACACATACACACACCCCCACCCATACACACACAGACACACACACATGCACACACATACACACCCCCCACCCATACACACACAGACACACACACATACACACACATACACATACCCCCACACACACATACAGACACACACACATGCACACACATACACACACCCCCACCCATACACACACAGACACACACACATACACACACACATACACATATACTTACACATATAGACACACACACAGAGACACACACACACAGACACCCCCACACACACACACACAGACACACACACAGACACACACACACACACACACACCAC